TATATATATATATAAAGGCTCTTTCTTTTAAACAGAACAAAATGCTTTCACATCTGTAGTAATCCCTTAATAATTCATGTGTATTTAGCACAGCAAAAAGAACTAGGAGGTATAAATAAACCTGAAGAACTTTATATTAAAAAGATACTAAAGGGTTGGCAGTTCCTCAAAAAGTGAAACACAGAATTACCATATGACCCAGCAATTCCACTCCTAGGTATATACCCACAAAGAACCAAAAGCAGGGACTTGAAGCATTTTTCACAATAGCCAAAAGGTGGGAGCAACCTAAGCATCCATGAACAAACAAATGCACCACGTCCATACTGTGGAATACTATTCAGTCTTCAAAAGGAAGGCAATTCTGACACACGCTACAATACAGATGATGCTGAGTTAAGTAAGCAAGACAAAAGGACAAATATTGTGTTTTTCTTGAGGTATCTAGAATAGGCAAATTCATAGGGACAAAAAAAATAGAATAGACTTTACCAAGGGCTTAAGAGGAGGAGGGGGAGTAGGAGTTATTGTTTAATGGATACACAATCTCTGGGATGATGAAATTCAGGTTCTAGAAATGGACCCTGGTTATGGTTGCACAACATTGTAAATGTATGTAATGCCAGTGAACATAAGCTTTTATGGTTAAAATAGTAAGTATATATTTTACTACAGTTAAAAAAAAAAAAAAAGAAACTAACATACCAATACGGTGAAACCTCGTCTCTACTAAAAATACAAAAATTAGCTGGGCGTGATGGTGTGCACCTGTAATCCCAGCTACTCGGGAGGCTGAGACAGGAGAATTGCTTGAACCCAGGAGGTGGAGGTTACAGTGAGCTGAGATCATGCCACTGCACTCCAGCCTGGGCAACAGAGCAAGACTCCATCTCAAGCAAAAATGAAAAAAAAAAAAGGACACTAACACCACTACCTCCATTCTCCAAATTCATTGAAGCATTCACATACATTTTGCCATAGTTGTAATCAGTAGGAAATGTGCTACATTATGTTCTGCCTGTTTCCACCTATTTCATATACCTTTTCCCATGTATTAACGATATACATATTTGTTATTTTAAAAGACTGTGTAATATTCCTCCAGGTTGATGCACACTAGTTTGCTTAGCCATTTCCGTATTTTTGTCTTTTCTTTTTCCTTTGTCTTTTTTGAGTCAGGGTCTCGCTGTGTTGCCCAGGCTGGTCTTGAACTCCTGGGCTCAAGTGATTCTCCTGCCTCGGCCTCCCAAAGTGCTGGGATTACAGGCATGAGCCACCACACCCAACCCATTCCTGTATTTTTGAACATATGAGGGATTCCTCTCCAATTTGGATATCAAAAATGTTACTATATGGCCAACTTTTACTGTGTGTTTTTATCTAATCCCTGGCATAGTTCTACATCATCTCACTCAGCCATCATATATGTGCTTATTTAAAACAAGTGAATAATTTATAACTACAACAGTAAGTGTGAACTGTAGAAAAGTCAGGAAATATATAAATATAAACAAACAGAAAAAAAAACCCTCAACTCTCAACACCCAGAGATAACCAATGCTATGAGAAATATAAACTTACAGGTCTTACCTCTTCTGTGTGTGTGGGTGTGTGTGTATATATGCTTTACAATTTAAAATGAGATCATACTCTACATATTGTTTTGGTATATGTTTTTACCTTATAAACATCTTTCCAAATCAATATATATTGATGTAAAACACATCATTTTAAATGATCTTAACATTCCTAGATTAAACCTCTTCAAAGGCTCTCTTTCAAAGATGGAGGTAAAGCCTTCATGTAGTCCCACTTACCTGTCCTTTACACCTCACTCCTCCTCAAAGTTGCTAAATCTCAGACAAACTATACTGCATACCATTTCCCACCCATGTCCCAAGCCTTCCCTCCTCTGAGGTTTTGCATGGGCCCAGGGTTAAAATCTGTTCCTCTGTCAGGACCAGCCTTACTGCCTCCACTCCACCAAGCCTTCTGCATCCACTGGAATCCCCTGGAAGCAATGTCTTGGAATTTTCTGTTTCCTCAGTACTTTGTACTCTTCTAGTAATGAGCACCTTCTCTTGAGGAATAGGGTATTTGTAACTCAAACAGCCTGAGGCCAAGGGCAGGCTCTATGTATCCCCCACAATGTCTAAAGCATAGGGCTGGCAATTGGCAGGCACCTAAGTATTTGAATAAAATTGAAAAACCTTCACAAGAAGGGTCAACTGGCTCTACTTTTACCAGGGGTTCTGACTTTGCATGCGTGCTTAACACACCCACTTGGGGTAAAGATCCCATAGCTGCTTGTCTTTTTTTCTCTCTCTGAGGCTCAGGAAGGCCCAACCTTTCTTACCCTTCCTCCAACCTTGTTGCCTAGTAAGTTGGTGACAGGTACGCTGGGTTAAACGTGCAACTTTATCTCTACACCAGCATTTCAACCACTCATTTTCCTAACCTGGGTTTAAAATCAAAAGGTAGCAATCCAGATATTTCTGGGAGCTTCTGACCCACATCAGCAGCCAGCTCAGGCCAAAATGCTGTCCTCCAAAACTGTCTGTTAGAGTCCAGTGATGAGGCAGGGACTCTAGAAAGCGGATTTACAAATTACATGACAGATAACCAAAGAGGCAGATGGGCCACGGACGAGCAAGTGATTGGCATAAGGGGTAGGATCTCATCATCCTAAAGGCTGCTTCATCACTGTTTCAAAGGAAAAGGCGTAGGACTCCAGGGCTGAGGGATAAGTGACAGGAGAAAGGTTTCCTGGAGCTACTTCTCCCATCCCCTCATCTGAAGTCAATGCAAAAATCTCTTTTAGATTCTTTCCTTACTGAGACCCCAAAGCTATCTCATGTTTATGTTGTGCTTTCAAGTTTTGTCCCATCCTCACAAAGTACTTTAGTGTGCTGTAATCTTTTACTCTCCTGTCAGCTGTAAAAGGGGATAGGGAAAGACTGTTAAGGAAGACTAAGGCACAAAGAAGCTTAGTCTCTGATTAGTCTCCTTCACTCTGTAAGTGTGCAGCAGTCCCACATCTAAATCCAAGCCTCCTTCCTCCTAAATCAGTCTTCCAACCACTTACCGAGGCTCACATCCCTCTTCTATCAGGGATACCCTCTGAGGCTGCTGGGACACCAGCCTAGACACCTAGGATGAATAGATTTTTTATTAATAGCTTCTTTTTAGCACCTAATGGAGGAGATGGCAGGCCCAATCCTATTGTTTCCAATGACCTACTTTTTGTTTTGCTTTTGTTTGTTTCTTGAGGAAGTCTTTGAAACTTGAAGTAAAGGACTCTATTATCTCCTAGGGATAACTTTAACCCA